ATATAATATAATATAATATAAAATCCAGAGAGTGAATGTTTACTAAATATAGATAAATAATAATCATGAATAAATTTGAAATTTCAAATAGTAGTTGTTTTGTCAAATTTAACAAGTGAAAATTTTGATATAATACTGATAATATTTGGACCGTTATCATTGTTCCTCTCGTTCTCGACTACCATCCCAGCATAAGTTCTCTTACCCGCCAACTAAACTGACAATCAAATCCTCAATAAAGATAATCAATTACGCCATCTCTTTGAAGTCCCCCACCCCTCTACTATCTAAAAGACAACGCCTTAATCTTCCCAGCTAACGATATCACGTTCTAAGAACGTTATAATAACGTTACAGTTTGGTGATAAAAACGTTATTTTGTAGAACCATATTTACGTACTTATAACCTTATTTCACAACCATACAACGTTTGAAGGAACGTTCTTACAACGTTGTGTGAACGTTATTTTGTGACATACCTAACCACTACGTTACCTTCGCGAACAATATAAGAACGTTTTGTGTTTGCTGGGTTGAATCTATTCTCCCATCTTTTAAACTTCAATTCTCACTCTTCTGGCAATGTTAAATGTGGTATTAAATTTCAGATGCTAAGTCTGCAATTTCATATGCACCTCTGATCCATCCACTCTTTTCAATAATAATATTACTTTTACACCTCTCATAACTTGTGATTCATCTATCGTCATTTACACTTTTGTAATAAGGACTTGGATTACTAAATGCTCTCTCAAAAGAATGTATTATATATGTCTGATCATGTACCTGTGGAAAAATGTGTTAATATATTTAATAATTCTAGTTAAATTCTGCATCTATGAATCCAGATGTGGTTCCGTCAGACCATGAAATAACGGTTTAAATGAAATACAATTGGCGAGCAGAAGAATATTTTAAGTACAGTAATTAATGGCAGAATAAGCTAATATAATGATGAGAGGCAACTAGCAAAACCATTGAGCTTACAGAATAAACTTTGTAAATTGTTTGCTTTATATTTAATTCATGGACCATTTCTTAGACATTTTTTTTTATACGAAAATGTTGTCCATGTAAAATATGTTTGTAAATAAATAAATAAATATACCATTTTCGGGAAATTTGAAAAAAAAAACATTTTTATCAGGAATTTTCCGTATGTATTTCGCATAGATTGTACAGTATAAGTTTGTAACATCATAATACATGATTGCACCTTATGTAGAAAACATTGAATAATGAATGAATAGTTTGTGACTAATTTTATTGTAATTTGTCAATAAAGTAAATTGAACGTTCTTTATTAGATAATGGCTATTTCATCATATAGATTCAGCAGTGTCTATTATGCATAGGTTATGACGAATAATCAATAATGCTAACAGCAATTGTGAAATTATAATATAAATAATACATAAAGAGAACGGTCAAATAGATGATTTAAAATGACAACTCGATCGTGTTTACAATTTATTTGATTTGACAGCTCAGCTCTGGCGATGACGGGAAAATGCAAGAGTTGCTCTCATCAGCAATCGCTGTTTTTTTCACGGAAGTATTATATTAAAATACCCAATGATTGCATAGCAGTTTCTTTTGAAATAAAATGGCAAAAAATACGAACTTTCAAGAAAAGTTCGTCTTTATTACATCATCTATATTTAGTTGGAGAGAGATATTTTGCTATCATGCATCCATATATGTATATTGTGAAAGTACACAATAGATCGGTAGTGATATTCCTAGTAGTTACGTGGATCATAGGACTACTCTGGTTCGCTATAATCCTCTCACCATTGTACAGCGAGAATGTTTATAACGAGTTTAATCTCATAACTAAGGTAGCTATTATAATTTCAACGTACGCCTGCCATCTGCGTATATATTGTGAAGCGAAAAGAAAAGCTCGTCAGGTGGTGTCATCTTCAACCAGTCAGGCAGTACAGCCCAAGAGAAGCGACTTCAAAGCAGCGCGAGTAACTACAATAATACTTGGTGGTTTTAGTATCTGCATTCTGCCTTCATTATTTCACAACATTGTTTTTCAAACACAAGGCGACATTACTCGCTGCACACTCTCATATTTTTTTAATTTGTTGTCGATATACGCTGCTTCTATGTTAAATCCAATTGTCTATGGTATTTGTAACAAAACATTTCGTGATTCTTATAAAAATATGTTTCATAAAATAATATGTAAATAGAATTGGCCAGAAGTGCTAATTCATAGAGTGTGTTTATAAGATTTTAGAATTTAGCTTTGAACTGCGCGCTCGGGCATGAACATGTTTTGATGTATTTGTTAGAACTAAATCGCTGTCCAGACTCTTCGACAAAAAAACTGATGTATGCCCTTATACAGGCATGATGTGCCTATATATAGTCATGATGTGATGTCATCATGACCATATTTAGTAATGTCATATGTTTTTGTCAAAAAAAAATTTATTGTCTCGACAGGGCTTTAGAAGAAAAAAAAACAAACCAAGCGCAAGTTAATGAAAAATGGGTTTTTGGTAATATGCAATACTGAAATTACGTCACTTATGCGGTATGTATTTCTCAGTGTCTGTATATTGACGATTAATTTATAGGTTGGTGCACGTAGAAGAATATTAAGGTAGCGAATGATTTACGAAAATATGGATAAAAAATTAAAATAACCTGATCATATTGAAGAAAAAAAATGATTGTCCATTGACCAAGTATCTATGATGTTCGAATATGTAAAAAAAAGCCAAAAGCGAAGAGTCCAAAACAAAGTTCCAATGTAGGCCTATATAGTTCGCAGCAGCGAACAAATTAAGCGGGAATTACAACCGAACCAAGATTCCAGTCATTCAAAAAGTCGTCCAGAAATATAATCGTCTATCCGGATATGAGGACACTATAAACTATCCCATGTCGATCCAAGGACTTAGTTACGGTCGATCATATGGGCCTGGGTGTTCCTACGCTACAGGATAGATATTTGCATGCTTTCACAGTTCAAAGTTCAAAGTAATTTTATTGTCAATAGTACAGCAAGTAAAATTGAAAATTGAGTTCAATGTTCAATTTATTTTTCATACATCATTTTAAGTAGGCCTATAATTATTTCAGTTAAGTTCTGAAACAAAAATAATAATTTAAAAAAAAAACAATAGCCCGGTTTAATAAATTATTATAATTCTTAAATAAATTTGAGTTAATAATAAATATAGGCCTAATATTTAACCACCACATATTAAATTTGAGAAAAAAAGAAATGGAATTGGTGGTTAGGCATATGCAGCAAGGCAGCTCCGACGATCATACCTGAACGGCGTAGACTCTGCGCCATCTAAGTTAGTGTAATTATGTTAGTAGGTACGCTTTATTATATGAGCTTTAATATCTATTTTTTTATATATATAATGAAAATGTTTAGGCTTACAGGCAATTTAGCCTTCGGGCTGCAATTTGGGAGTATTTTTAATGTATTTTGTGAATAAAGAAAATTGAACGTTTATTAGATATGATGCAAACTAATAAATATTTTATCAAATAGATTGACGGGTAAACAATAGGACGATGTTTAATGTAATTTGGGCTGACAGCAATTTTGCCGTCATTAAATAAACGATAAATAGAACAGTCAAATAGAGATCATTTATAATGACAACGCTATTGTGTTGACCTTTATTTGACAGTTTGGTTTAGCTCAGGTGATGATGGGAAAATGCATGTTATTAACACTCGCTGTTTTACGATGCAAGTATGTCTCGGAAGGATTAAAAGTACCAGTTTTTGTTTTTTTTTAATAAAAGGCAAAAGATACCAGAACATGGAAGGGAACCTAGCAGAGAACAATACAGGCTTCATTTCAACTTGTGTGTTTCCTAAAACTTTGTCAATTCCTTTCGGATTTGTAACACTTTGTATTATTATAGGAAATGTATTTGTAATTATTTCTGTCTACAGTATCCGGTCATTGCGTCAACCGTGTTACCTAATTCTTGCTAGCATGGCGTTCGTGGATGTATTAACAGGGATTATCGGCGTCGTAGTTGTACTCCGTCTTGCTCTTCATGGACGCTTTTTTTACCTTGGAGAAAAATTAGGATTGATTCTTCAGAAAATTATGGCATGGTCTATAAGTTCGTCTTTATTTCATCATCTATATTTAGTTGGAGAGAGATATTTTGCTATCATGCATCCATATATGTACATTGTAAAAGTACACAATCGATCGGTAGTGATATTTCTAGTTGTTACGTGGATCATAGAACTACTCTGGTTTGCTTTTTTCCTTTCACCATTGTACAACGAGAATATGTATAACGAGTACAGTTTCATAGGCAAAATGATTATTACAATTCCAACATACACCTGCCATCTGCGAATATATTGCGAAGCGAAAAGAAAAGCTCGTCAGGTGTCATCCTCAACCAGTCAGGCAGTACATCCCAAGAAAAGCGACTTCAAAGCATTGCGAGTAACTTTAATAATACTTGGTGGTTTTAGTATCTGCATGCTGCCTTCATTATTTCAAGACTTTGCATTTCTAACCCAAGGCAAATATACTCGATGTAAACTCTCATATTTTCTTTATTTTTTGTCGATATACGCTGATTCTATGTTAAATCCAATTGTGTATGGTATTTGTAACAAGACATTTCGTGATTCTTATAAAAATATGTTTTATAAAATAATATGTAAATAGAAATTGTACAGAGGTTTGAATTCATTGCTATGCTAATAAGACTTATAATTTATCTTTGGACTGCGCACCTGCGTATGTTTCAGTGCTAAATGTTTCAAAACTTATACAGGCCTCCTTCCACACTTTTGTATTTTCTCTATGTTTTACCTTTTACTTGTAATAGCGGTATCTAGTGATATTTGAGTCTGTTCAACCATGAAGCCTCTGTGGCCTAATGTTTATGACGCTTGCCTTGACAGCGAGAGGTCCCAGGTTGGAATCTTGTCAGAAATATTTTATTAAACAATTTACTTATTCATTTATTTAAGATTACATTCGTTGAGAGCTATGCTATACGATGTATTATTATGTCCTTTATTCGAACACTGTACCTTTCTTTGGTGATTTATATATATATATAACTTAACGGCAATTTTTGATTGATATTAAAGGCCTCTATAGACAGCAGAAAATCCTGGGTTCATTCGAATCCTGCATTGGGCACAATTTGTTTCACACTCGACTCACAGATTTCTCTTGTTTAAAGTTTAAAAATGTATATATTATGTATACTTATATAATATATATATATATGTATATATATATAAGCATACGCTTTTACAGTCAATGGAACCTATCAGTGTTTTACATACAAATGATATTAAAAGATAAGTTCTTCTACTCGATAAACGAGGCCAGTTCAGTTGTTCTAATCTAAGAACATAATCCATGTCCCCACGTCTCTGCTTTAATGCTAGACGTGTGGCTCTACGCTGTACAGATTCGATTCTATCAGTCAACTTTAAGGTTTGGGGAAGCCAAGCGGGAATGCCATATTCAAGTATAGGAATAATAAGAGCTTGATATAATGCAAATATAGCCGCTGATGAAGTACCTCCGGCAATACTTGCAATATAACCAATCATCCTGTTTGCCCTTGCTGTAATATTTTTTACATGGTCATCCCAAGTTAAGGTATGGTTAATAGTGACGCCCAAGTGGGAGTGATTTAGGACAGATTGAATTGGGGAGCCATTCAAGTAGTAAATCGGACGGTACTCTTTTTAGATCTAGTAATGTGAAGAATACTAGTTTTATTTGAATTTAATTCCATTTCATTCGAGGCACACCACGCGGAGAGTGCATTTAAATCACTTTGGACTAAATATTCATCATCAACGCTATGGACATCTCTATAAATGATGGTGTCGTCAGCAAATAAGGCACAAGATGATAAAGAGGAAGCAAGGTCATTAATTAACAAGTTAAACAACATAGGGCCCAGTACACTACCCTGAGGGATCCCAGAGGTCACAGTACGTGGGCTACTAGTAGACCCCTGAAATACAACCATCTGGACGCGATCAGATAGGAAGGACTGGATCCATTTCCATATTTTCCCTCTAATGTTAAACTGTGTAGCAAGTTTGTGGACCAGAATGTTATGGGGCAATTTATCAAAAGCTTTAGAGTAATCCAAAAAAATAACTTCAATTCTAGGAGGACGTGGTTTGTCCAGTGACGATGCCCAATTATGGAGGAGGTTAGTTAGCTGTGTAACACACGAGCGGGAAGGGTAAAATTCATGTTGAACATCTGTGACAAGACAATTTGACTTAACATGTTCAAATATAGCAGAATGGATAAATTTCTCAAGAATTTTACAACATATCGGTGTCAGAGATACCGGTCGGTAATTTAAAATTGAGGTTTTTTTTCCAGATTTAAAAATTGGAGTAACATGGGAAATCTTCCAGGAAGATGGTAATTTACCTTTCATTAAAGTTAATTTAAATAAATTATAGAGAGGAGAAGCAAGTACATCAGATGCCGTTTTAAGTATATACGGGTGTACGGCATCTGGGCCGGGGGATTTATTGATGTCAAGATTACTTAAACTAGAATTCACATCAACAATATCAAAATTTATAGAGGAAAGTTCAGGTATTGGAATGGAACACGTTGGAGGATCCGTGGGAGAGGCTTTCGAAGAATTAAATATTGAAACAAAGTAATTATTGAAACTATTTGCAATAACTGAAGGGGAAGAACTAGCAGTCCCATTAATGTCAAACGAAGTGGGTGCCGGTGAACGTTTACGTTCACGAGCAAAACGCCAAAAAGCTTTTCGCGTTTTATCCCCTGTAAACAAACGGTTCACATAATCATAATAAGATTCCTGGCACAACTGTTTGACATTGTTACGGACTCTTTTAAATTCCTCCCATGCAAAAGTACTGCCTTGGCGCTTGGCCCTTTTGAATAATCTGTGTTTCTTTGCAATAACTTTCTACTGTACGGTGCTCTGAAAGTAGCAGCTGTATAGATTATAATAGAGTAACAATTAGGCCCTACTTTTAGTTTAGTTTATTAATTTGAAAGTTCACTTTCATAACAGCAACTTTCAGCAACATATGTAAAACTGTACAGTAACTGCTACAACCACATAAATCATATCAAACGAATTGTGAAGCGAAAATTTAAGAGAATTAATTTTTCCACAGTAAACAAATTTTCGTCTTTATAGTGTATACCTTGAATTTATAAATACATAAATTGTGAAACGATAGTATATACTGTACTATTCCCCATCAAAACAAGTCGCAAACTTCCAATATAAGATTCCCTCTCCAACACTACCCCTTTCTCTCAGCAACTTAAATTTAATTTTAATTAGAAACAAAAACCATTTGTACAAATAAACTAATGCTGCGTAGCGTTGGACGTGAGGAACAAAATCCGAAAAATCCAAAAGCTACCTGGACGGATGAAAATCAAGCGAATCATTCTCTTGGCGGGTGATAATGAGAAGTAAGATGTTGGTCATGGTCCGATGGGTATGGCGGGAGCAATGCCATAGCCAGCTATTGGGACACTTTTTGAAAAAATGGGTCCAGATTTCTTACATTTAGCCTGAAATTGGTAAAATTTTAAGAAAACGGGTTCAGATTTTTCATTTTTGTGTAAAATGGGTTAACTTTTAAGAAAATGGGTCCACATTATTTGAATTTAGGCGTAAAGTTGGTCCACCCTGTCCCGCACTGTTTGAAAATCCTGGCTACGGCATTGGGTGGGAGGGTAGGGATGCCCCCGTCCCCCCGTTGTACCAAAAATAATATTGCCTATCCAAATAACGTACTTGCCAATCCCTTTATAATGTCTAAAACCTACAGAGCTATTAAAAGCTCTTTCCTTGAATCCTATTATAGATTTTTATTCTGGGACTCTGACCGAGGCTCTTAGTCGGACACTTGGTTCGGACCCCTGGACATATTTGCCTACAAGGAGTCCCACATGTCCAACAGCGGGGACGAACCAAGAGGGCAGTCTAAAGCCTCGATCAGGCTATTTTTATTTTTCAAGGTTGGTTTCTTTGTATACATTGTCTGTATTTAACAATTTTCTATCTTTGTCAAATTTAAGTTTAAAGAACTGTTATATACAGGTCTCTTATACACATCTAGATGTGTATAAGAGACAGATGTTAAACTGTGTAGCAAGTTTGTGGAGTAGAATGTTATGGGGCAATTTATCAAAAGCTTTAGAGTAATCCAAAAAAATAACTTCAATTCTAGGAGGACGTGGTTTGTCCAGTGACGATGCCCAATTATGGAGGAGGTTAGTTAGCTGTGTAACACACGAGCGGGAAGGGTAAAATCCATGTTGAACATCTGTGACAAGACAATTTGACTTAACATGTTCAAATATAGCAGAATGGATAAATTTCTCAAGTATATTATATACTCATAAATAAAATTCTCAAATACCGATGTTACTATACCAAATTGTAGTTTGTCTATATTCTATCATTCAGTAACCAAATGTTCAATAATTGGAAGAAAGAATTGGGTATAAAATAATTATTTCATCATTAATGATTAATGAGCATATCAAAATAAAATAATTCTTTCATTATTAATTTCAACAACTACTTTATAGTAAATAACTTCATCAATATGATGCAGTATGATATTGGTATCCCATGGTGATAGACATAATTCCTTGCCTTTATTTATAATTATATATTATGAACAGATAATATTGCTAAAATGATTAATGAACATATCAAAACTAAATTAATTCTTTCATGATTAATTTTCAACAACTACTTTATAGTAAATAACTTCATCAATACGATATGACAGCGTAATAAAAAAAATCAACACAACTGAAGTATTGAAGGACTACATATCATCTTTTTCTCTCTCTCTCTCTTTTTCTCTTTTTTTTCTCTTTTTTTCTCAATTTTTTTTTTTTGGTGGGGTGGGGGGAGGGGGGGGGGGGGTGGGGTGGGGGGAGGAGGGGTGGGGCACACCCCACCAGCCCCTGTCCAAGACTCCGATTCCGTTCGGTTCCTCTACCAAAATCCAAATGAGACGCTTCTTTGGTTACAGCAATCTTGTTCTGGGAGCGCTTTTTGATAAAATATTGGATATTTACATTTGTTTTATTTATATAGGCCTACGTAGGCCTACGGATTAGCCGTGGATTGTTTTCCAAGAAAAGATAGTTATTAAATTTGAAGACGTTGATAACTTGTTTTGAAGTCTAAAATTTTGTTCAATGGTGGAATAATTCAATTCACCGCAGTTTTAATGTAAGTAGAGAACAATCATGCTTTTTTAAAGGCAACAGTCTAGGTCGAACCACGCACGTGCATGGTATGTAGGCTAGCCTAGTTAGGCCTAGCAGGCCTAGGCGGTTGTCGAGCGTTTCAGAACACCTTCCAGTGTTTATGGCTAGCGACTGAGTAAATGTTGTCAGTGGGTCGCATGGCATTATCTCTTTCTGAAATAAGAAAGTGTTAATAGGATGGTATTTATAGGCCTAGGTAGCCTACTGTAATTTTGTTTTGTTTAGTATTTCAATTTATCACATGTAGTTTAATAAAGAATACTGCCCACCACAGCACAGACAGCCAGCAGATATTACAAAACTTTAAATTGGTAGTAGAGCCTAGTACCTTTTCGTTCACAAGAAGTATTTTTGTGATGATTAGCGAGGGTAGCAGGTCACTTCGGCCCAACACCAAATTGGCCCAAACCAACTCGGACCAAACCAACTCTGCCCCAGACGACACTTCGGCCCCAAACCAACTCGACCAAAACCAGCTCGGTCCAGATGAAAACTTGGGGCTGAGGTGAGAAAATTTGCGATTATGGTACCTCTAGATGGCTGGAAATTGCACTCCCAGACTTGAAATCTAGCCCCCTCCCCTTGAATCATCCACTGATTGCTGAACAAAGTCGAAGTCGAGATTGCTTCCACGATATCAATGAATTATCAATCGTGAGGGGTGTCCTTGATATATGGGTATTCCTGACGAAACCTTCACTTTTCCCCCGATGGATGAAAATTACCCTTCTATAGTAGCCCAGAAATGTAGGCCTACTCCAACTGTGGCGGGTCCAGGAAGTCGAAATTGAGGGGACCCAGGGAGGGTTTTGTACAAATGGAATGTTCACCCATATGATTAATCGCACCTCTAAATGGTCAGAAATGGCACTCTCTGATTAAAAGTTGAATACAATTTTGTCTGTTTTCTCCATTTTTTTAAAAATCATTTTGAAAAATATTAGGAGGTTGGGGCCCTTGCTGACTGGGCTTCCCCTTGAAACCACCACTGTTCAATATAAACTTGACATAGCCTATCTTTTTGTTTCACAAATGACTAATGCCTGATTTAAGCGAAAGATTTTTTTTATTTGAAATTTTTTTTATTTTAATACAGTTTATACAACCTGTAACACATTAAATACAGTGTACTGTAAATTCTGTAATTAACCTTCAGAGAACTTTATTTAAAGAAATGTCCATTCTTTTTTCTCATGCGCGAGGGTGGGTTTCAAGGAAACTATACAGATTCGCCTATACAGACATCAATCAACATTTGGTTGCTCAACTCATAATAATAATAATAATATAAAAACAATACTGGTAATAATGATAATAATATTAATAATAATAATAATAATAATAATAATAATAATAATAATAATAATAATAATGACATTGCAGCGTTCATAAAATGCTTGTAAAATGTTTGTCAACTGGTGCTGGGAACAGCCACAAAAGTGGGGGGGGGGTGGCTAATAGCCCCACCCCCTCCCCAGCTTCCGCCGTCATTTTTGTTCAAGGATTGATATGGGGCTGGGGGTAACATTTATGCCCACAACTTTTTGCTAACTGAATATCTTTTCTTTTTTTTAGTATCAACGTGTAGAAAAATAAATTTCCTATCATTTGGTATAAAGGACAATGTAATTACATTGTTAATTATGTCACATGAGGTCGAAAGGTCACCTTCCAAAGATCAACATCAAATTTTACCCAATATATATATTAAAACTTGTGATAATAGTTTTTCTTTCCTGTTAAAACTAAATTAACATGGATGAAAGTTTGTTGAAGTACAACATGTAAAAATACATATATATAAGGCCCAATAAAAAAAATTATTAGTTTATAACCCCTGTGTGTATGTCTTCTTCTATGGTACTGGAAAATTTTTTTATTTTTTTTTAAATTTATTTCATTTATTTTATTAAATAGTTTGATATTATTTGTATTATCTCAGTCATGTACTTAACTTTGAATATCAATGCAAACAACCCAAGAGTGATATTTGGCTTTAGCAAAATAAAAAATTTAAAAAAAAGCCTCCCTCCCTCATCACTTTTCCTGCCCAGATAGTGTGATAAACTAATAATATTTTTTATAGGGCCTAATAAAATTGGGACATCTTAGCTTCAATCACTACAGAGTTATGGCTTCAAAAATAAGTGGGCGTGTCTATTTTATGCATTCACCATTGGATTTAGATATGAATGAAAACTGAGCTCTTACGTCACTAGCTTTAAATAGCAGTTATGATGCTGAAAAATGGTGATGATATAGGGTAGGGGTAACATTTATGCTCACACCTTTTTATCAACTGAATATATTTTGCTGTTATTAATAATAAAGTATAGAATAGTACAACCCCTTTCATTTGGTATAAAGAACAGTGTAACAGCATGCTTGATTATGTCACGTGAGGTCAAAAGGTCACCAACAAAATATCAAAATCGAATTTACCCAACATATATTAGAACTCCCGATAATATTTTACTTATCCCGTTAAAACTAAGTTATTACACAGACAAAAGTTAGTTAAATTAAAACATATATTAAAACACATTTATAGATAGAATTTTAAATAAATATATTTTCACAATTGTGGTACATAATTAACTAGAAAATATGAACTACTAGTAATGAAATGTGGGTGGTGTGTCCATTTTATGCTCGAGAAAAAGATTTGAAGGATATATAATATGCTGAAAGCAGGGAATCTACATATCAGTTTTCCTAATTAATATATAATTGTCAGATTATACTGTTAATACATAAATATATTTATATTATAGAGTATTTATATATACAAATTAAGTTTATAAATTAGCTATATGCAAGAAATATAAATCATTAGAAATAAAATAGATAAATAATAAACATTTTTATCTGATATATATTTTATATCTAATATATATTATATATTACAGTATATAGTCTAATTACAGTACATGTATAGTATACAATATACTGTAAAAATATAATACATTGCATATGAATATATATATAATTCAGTTTTTCAAATTATTATGTAATTGTCAGATTATAGTTAATACATAAATATATATTTATATTTAATATACAAAGTTTATAAATTAGCTATATGCAAGCACTGTAAGTCATTAGAAATAAAATAGATAAATAATAACAATTTAATATATATCTAATATATATAATATATCTATATATCTATAATTACAATAGTATGTAATATAAAATATAGAAAATATAATACATTGCATATGAATATATATATATATATATCAATAACAATTTAATATAATTACAGTACATATATAGTATATATACAGTATAAATAATACACTGCATATG